TTTGCAATTTTCAGTCATTTTAGATTACAAACGGAAAATTGACAGCCTCAAAGCGTATCGGGCTGTCAATTTCCCGTTTGTAATCTAAAATGACTGAAAATTGCAAACTTCGCAAGGCTATATTATCCGCATTTTACAACATTTTGCAACGAAACTTTGGAATATTACTAATTTTGTGATGCTCTTTCAAGCTGTGATAAAATTTTTGTCTAGATCAAAATTTAGTCTATTACGCAAATGGTCAATTGTTTAGGCATATTGAGAATGTTCTTACCTATATCGGCAAAAAAATACTCAACTTACGGGGCAAAAACATGCCAATAACTTGGGCTGATGACTGTTGAAGTGATGTGCACTAAACAATATCAAAACGCTCTTCTTGGCTACATAAATTTTCCTTATAGGTGACATGACGCGAAATTTTTTATTGCCCATCTGACAGAATCGTCAAAACTGTAAAGCAACTTCCTTTGCACATTTTTGTTTACGTGCTTCTTTGGTGAGATAATTCAGTTTTCTTGATATGCAGTGCAAACAAATTTACGTCACACTTTGCATAATGAGTTATCCTTAAATGTCAGGTTATCACTAATATAAGTCATTAAATCGTTTGAAAATTCACATGCGTTATGCTGAGGATAATGTAAAGCATACGTATGCAGTTTTCCAAATGACGATGTTGGATAAAAGAACACATAAATTATCAAATATTTGGTAGCTCATTATGTAAACTGTGACGTAAATTTGTTTGCAATCGGCATGTGAACAAAACTGAATTATCTCACCAAGGAAGATTGGAAACGAAAATCTGTAAAACAAGTTACTTTACAGTATTGATTATTCTTTCAGATGGGACAATAAAAAAATTCGTGTTATGTTACTTTGAATGATACAGTGGGGGTGGCATTGTACATGAACAGTTTTCATGAGGGTGGCATTGTAGCGTTGAACAGTTTTCAACAAGTGGTTAAAGGAATTAACTATCTGAAAAATATAGAAAAAAGGCCGATTTTTGAAATGATTGTAGATTCCATCCTTCAACTGTTTTTTGAAAACAGTTCGTCAAAATACTCAGCTCAAGAACAATCGATCTTGCCCAGTATGTCGCGAAGATGTCACGACTAAGTGATTCTGCAGTAATGATGGATAAGTATAGATTACTTCATGTTTGGTGCGTAACGAGTTGTGAAAGATGAATCAAAACACTCACTTCCGATTGTTAAAACCGGGCGCCATGTTTACAAGTTAAGCGGGGAAACACCAGCCAATCAAACGCTGAGACGATAATTCACCACATGTGAGAAAATTCGTCCGAACAGTTAAAATGCTGAGACGATAAATTTCACATGTGAAAAATATCGTCCGCCATGTCCATGCAGATGCGATTTTTATTTCACTCATCTACTGCACGGAAATCTCATGCTCCCATTATACTTTGCAACTGATTAAATCATGTTCCCATTATACTTTGCACGCTTAGAGTTTAAAGTTTAAGGTTTAGAGTTTAAGGTTTGTAACGGACAACCTTTTTTGAATTAACTGTATAATAAAGCGTGTCCTCTCACACCTCTTCTTTAACGTTTCCTTGAATCAGTTCAAATACAGTAGGACTCGATGTTGTTGAGTGTAAACATGCATGTTATTTTTCAAATCGACATCTCTGAATGGCATTTCTTTATTTTTAATTTTGCGGTTTAGATCAAACATGATACCTTATGAAGTGATAAAGGAGGGGAAATCAGACATGACAATGATAAAGTGTGGTTGCTGCAGTAAAATATTTAAAACGATTCAACAACATGAACAACATCGATGTCGAAAAGAAAACAAGTTCAATAATGAATGTTTGTCTTGTAAAAAACCTTATACTGATCATCTGGTACCACAGAATGACAATAACCTCCACAAAGGTAATATTAAATTATTCAATACGTTTTCATGAAAATCTAATTTTTCACGCATTCATTCCGGTCGACTTCCGGTGTGACGCGAAATTCCTGACGTACGAAATATCTGACTATTGTAGAACTGCCCATGCGCAGACGATGGCCATGGATGACTTTGGCTCATAAATTTCGCATCTCAACAGACAACACGTGTATTTATAAAGTCATTTTATTTATACATAAATTTTCGAACATCAATTCTACAATGGATCAACTGAATTGACACTATAGCTACAACACACTATACCACTGTCGTGAACGTTAGCGTTCAGCAATAATAAAGCTTGAATCGCAGATATGGAAAAAGTCACTCGAAAAGCGCTCTTAGTGATATAAAATAGTTTGTAAAATAGTGCAGTTTCAAAGGTTATGCATGGAGCACGAAAAATGTTTCGCGTTTGACCTTCTCACTATTTAGTAGGCAGCAACAATGAGTTCGTGAGTTGGCCGTTTAGATTTGGCGATGTCTATATTAGAAACATTTGGCAACATAGCATATGGACTTAAAAATCGTTTCGACCGACCGTATTTCGCAAACGTCGTGTATTTCGCGGTCACGACCACACAATTCGCTTTGAAATTTAAATTGTTTGTGATTGAAACCTAGCGATGTCGATTTGAAATATTTAACGAAGTATTAGAAATTAACATCATGATTATTTTATCTAAACTCTAAAAAACAGTTTTGGCCGACTTAGAATTTAGCAAGCGTCGTGTATTTCGCGCCTGCACGCGCGAAATTTCTGACCCGTCCGCTTGGTCAGGTATTTCGCAGAGGTCAGGAATTTCGCTTGACACCGGTCAAGTTGCATGTAAAACGTCGCTAGCAGCTTCGCGGCTTGATTAATAATCTCTCCAAATTATATGCAGTAGATATGGTTGGATATTTTTACTAGTTAACTTATTTCATGAAATGGTTTATTGGAACGATTTCATAACGATTTTTAAAGATTCTGTCAACTCATAATTTATTCTAAATTTAAGGGTTTAGTAAGATGAACTTTGGGTATCCGTTTCTGTTAAAAAATTCAAACTCTTTACTAGGTATTGTGTTCGTAACGTAGACATTCTTTGTTGAATGTCGAACCTACGTACGTAAAGGCCTTGTCAAACGAGATGTCGATTTCTCCGAAACTACCACAAGTGTTTCTATAATTGTATAGAAACACAAAATGTTTTCTATTTCTTTTTTATATAACTAAAGAAAAGTTTTTACAGCCATTTTTATATTGATTAATTTACAAATACTCGTTATCTCATATTTAAACTGAGAATTTCCTTTCTGTCTTGTGGTTCCTTGCTCTCTATTATCATCTTTATATTAGGGTCAATTAATCATATTTTACAAAGAAAACATATAAAACATTCATTATTCAATCAAACTATTTATAGAATATAGACCCTAAATGGTCAAGGTATAAACGGGACTCGAAGAACCATGCAAGATACCTTTCCAAACTTTACTAAAACTATTTTATATAACATTACACACACAATTCTACACATGCACACCTAATTACACTACAATTTACGTCCTATATATGACACGAACAGTCAGGAAACTTGGACCACGTACATGACAAGTCAACATCATAAATAGAATCAACAATACTAGAGTATCTACGTTTAACTAAACATATAAAAGAACTAGGACTATAGACACAATATCCACACATATATCTTTACATACAATGTTCCACACTTTGACGACACGTTTATAGTACGAAGATTGAAAAGTGCTTATTCCAGGGTGCGATAATTCAATATTTTTAGCCGTACCTGACTGGTACTCCAACAACTTTTGCCGCGTACCTGATCTGGTACAAACTTAAGAGTCAAGACGTACCTAAGACTACTTCCGAGTCATGCGTTTTTATACCTATACGTATATTAAGTTTACTGGTCCAAAAGTAAAAAATGTATGGGCAATTTTGTACAAATGAATCTTTAATTATGGTATTTGTACAACATAATATAACAGTTCTCAAAGCGTCGACGTTGTGACTCGAATGCCATCGCTCATTTACAGTGGATTTACCGAAGGTGCTAACTGTCTGACCTCAGCTACATACAGTGTAGTTTTCCTCATTGGGCCTATAAAAAACCTGTGGTTCAGTGCCAGTGGTTCCGTTTTTTTTTCCAGTCGGACAATGACGATACATTTTTTGATCAAGCGCAAAGATAACATTTTGGCGTTTTTCATCCCAAAATATGTCGGATGCGTGGAATTAACATGTAGGAATTTAAAGTTCTTCACGGTTTTGAATACTTTGGCAGGTTTGCTAGTTATTGCTATAGAAGGAAAATGTAAGTACGCGAATAGCAAACTTTCGCGTACCTACGTGGTACTTGCCCAAAAACAAAGAAGTACCAGACCATAAATTTGGCGTACCTCCGGTACGTTGGTACGCGAATTATCGCACCCTGCTTATTCTACACATTTGACTTTGTAGAATGTACTTTCAAGTGTTACTCAGCCGAGTTCGCCACCGTGACTGACAAACGAGACATAGTTACTGGCATCAATATTCATATAACCAAACAAACTTGTACAGAAACACCAAATCCTTAACCTCCCTGTCGAGGGTTAACGGCAGAAGGTCCAAGGCCAACAGACATTCTTTGTGGCTCAGCTCTCCTATTCTGCTCATCATGATTCATATCGTCTCCCGACGTTGCACTCTTTCAACCCGCTTTGAGAGTTGGATGTTCCGTTGCGTGGCGTAATTGCGATTTCACATGAGTCAAATAAAGAGTTCGCCTGCGCATGGCTTTCATGTCTGTCAGTTGAGTACATGTTCGTCTCAGTACACCTAACATTCTGTTGGCCTTGGAGAGATGACAGAATTGATTTGAAGTTCCCATGAAAGTCCGGAGGAAGTGATGACGCCAAGATCTTTTTCACTGTCAACTCGAGTCAGACTTTCTGTTCCCAGTTTTTAATCACAAGTGACAGGAATTTTTTTGCGTGTAATGGTGAGTACTTTGCATTTAGAAGCATTGAAACGGGTGTTGTTTTGTACACTTCAGCAATTCAGATTTGTCAACGATTGTTGTAAACATTTGCAGTCATCAGTAGAGGTAATCGTATTGTGCAATTTAGTATTTTACACAACATCTGGGAAATCGTTAATGAAGATGACAAACAATGACGGACCGAGAATACCTCCATGAGGCACTCCAGAGGTGAATGGTGACCATGCAACCTCGTACCCAGGGCTTCTGCGCTTATTGCTCTCAGAAGCCCTGGGATAATCCAAACCGGAACACCATAGAACAGTGGTGCCCCCGGAAGCGGAAGTAAACAGTAGCTCCAGCTAAAAACGCTGACTGGGCATATTTTTACGCAAGGAGTGAGAATGGATTATTTGTTGCAATTTATGATATATTTGGACTTGTAAAGACGTCTTAAACTGCTTCTCGCGTGGCTTTTGGAATTTAAAGTCAGGAATGATCAATTTAGAGATACAATTATGCGTAAAATTAGCCCTTTGGCGAGCAAAAGAACATCTTCTATCGCGACAACAGCATACCTTGTCAGCGATATACAGGGGCTATTCAATAATTAAAGTATAAATATTTATATTCGAGTACAACCTTGGTCATTTCAAAATTAACAGACTAGAAATCTTACTGGTAACATGGCTGGCTGCCGATTATCTTGGATTTGAGGGTTTTGAACAAGATATTGCAAGATTTAATTATAAATGCACAAGATATACTGTACTGTAAACATGCATCTACTTGAAGAATGTAAAATGAACAGTGATGAGTGATGTAATATAATTCTGTACTTTAATATTTGGAAAACCTTTTTGGCAAATCTTGAGAATAATGGCTTTGGGAATCAATGTTGAAAATTAAAAACTGTCAGATAGCTGCATGGACAGCATGGTTAGAAGCATACATGTCATCGGATGAAACTCCAACTTTTGTTAATTGCTGATGTTCTAGTATTGGAATGAACAGTGTTATAATAACCAATGGTGCTGAACTAATTTGGGTTTATTATAAAATATTGTTTATCATTTAGTTCTGGCCATTAACCTTACCTATTAAGTTATACATTGTGTCTTACTTTTTATTTTACTCTGGTGTGCCCCCCCCAGGCTCTGGTCAACAGGGGTGCATGGGGGGGGGGGGTGCAAAAATGATGTTTATCCTAATTCTAACCAACTTATGTTAAGGAATTCAGTTGTGTATCACTAGTTGACAATAGTGGAATAGCCAATATTAAATATTCTGAATTTTTAAATGTTTTGAGAATCTAAAATTTTCCAGAATGTTTTCTCAGAATGCTGGAAATGCCATTTCAGAGACCCAAATTTTAAAAATTTTCCGTGGTAGTATGCCCCCGGACCACCCTAGAAATCTCGTGCCTTCGGCGCTCGTTTCGCCATTGGTTAGCACCCCCCAAAAAAACTTTGCTGGATCCACCACATGATTTTATATGTTGGGATAGATCATTGGTGTTCAATGGATTATCTCATAATACACACTAGTTTGTTAACCTACTCTGTCTAATCATGCTAACACCATCATTGGCAATGGAATTGAGCAGTGATGTAGCCAGAATTTCTAATTAAGGCCTTCAAGGGGGACTGAAATCCCCAGGAGGGGCCTGCACTAGTTTGAATAAAGTTTGTTAGTATGTAAAAATATATTTGGACTCCCAAGCTATCCATGTATAATATAGTACAATGTAGACTTTTTAAATTCTAGTTAATAAAGTGCCATTTTGGGGGGCTATTTTAATGTGTTTTGGTGATTTGAAATAACCTTGCAGTTAACACATGTTCAACTCTAATTAATTACAAACAAGTTCAGAACATTTAAAATATTTTGACCCCCCCCCCTCTGGTTACACCACTGGAATTGACTTGAGCCTTTTAGACCTCTGAATTTTAGTTGCAACTTAGAACAGTGTTCTGACATACAAGAAAATTGTGAGAAAATTTGTGCAAAAGCATTTCTCAAATAGGTCATTCCAGAAAATATCCACACTCCCCCCACAGAGGAAATTTCTGCCGTTCAGAGGGGGAGGGGGGAAAAATTTTTCTGATAATAGTAAATATATTAGGACATCCAAAGGGGTAGGAGGGATTAACTTTCAATTTCCTCTGTGGGAGTGGTATGGGTGTTTTCTGGAATGACCCAATATAACTGTGTTTTTTTCCCAAATCTAATCAAACTGTCAAATTGTCAATTCTTGTACATGGGGAGGGGAAATTTTGGAGAAAAAAGAATTGTGGCCAATCAGGTTGGGGGTCCACCTGTAGGCCTGGACATAGGCGTACAGGGCTGGGCTCAAATGTTGGGCAGACTAGGCCAGTCGGGCAATATTTACTTCACAGTTGGGCAATATTGGCTTATAATAAAAATAAATAGGAGAAATTATTCCCTTAATATTGGGGGAAATATGCTATATAATGGTCGAAAATTTAGTTCATTTTGATTAATAGTCATTTAATATATGTGCTATCAACAGTTTCTTTATGGTATTAAGTAACAGATTACAAGGTTTGTACATTAGATCTAGAGATTTAGAGGCACTAATAACTCAATAATAAATAGGCACTAATGCAAACTCTGAGCCAGTGCACCCAGCATCCTCAAGTTGGGAATAATTTGTAAATTTAAATATTTGTGTATAATTCATAATTTATCCTATTCCAATACAAAATGCAATAATATAGAACACACAATTTATCAAATAAAGGTAAAAAAGGTATTAAAAACTTTATTATGTAATATTTACATTGAATATCGTGGTTGAAGTTGTAGATTTATACTTGAAATTTCAATTTTCGAACGAGCAATGTTTCGCTTTATTATGTTAATTTTTTTACTCTGTTCGTCATTCTTGCTTATTTACAAATACAAATAGTCCATTTCTTCTTTTGCTCTTTTCAAAATAGCCCAGAATTTGATTTAAAAAAGTATTTTCATGCAAAAACCAGCATTTAACTTTTGTATACACTCCTTGAGACAGCCATGTTGCCGAAATATCACCCGGTTAATGAATAACTTCCGGTACTTTCATTGTATTCGCATTGACCAATCAAATCACGTTCTGAGTTGGATTATCCCAGGGCTTCTGAGAGCAATAAGCGCAGAAGCCCTGGGTACGAGGTTGGTGACCATGTCGAAGCCACACTATCTACAATGACTCTCTGAGTCTTACCATTCAAATAGTCTGCGAACCAACCCAAAACTGACCTTGTCACACCGTAACCACGCTGTTTCTCGAGAACGATTGCATGATCCACGGAGTCGAAAGCCTTAGCGAAATCGAGATACAAGACGTCAGTCTGAGTATTCTTATCTAGACTATGTCCAATAGTGTGTAATATATACATACTGACAGTCGCACACAAGCGTTTTCGAAGAAAACCATGTTGAGCTTGGCTAATGTCATGTAGAATGTGGTCGTGAAATCTAAAGTACACACATCGTTCCAAGACTTTACTGACAATTGACAATAACGAAATGGGCCAATAACTTTTCGCTAGCTCCTTCGAATCTTTCTTATGGATCGGTGCGACGTCTGCTGAATCCAACTAGATTGTAGGGATAGGTTGAAGAGAGAACAAAGACTCGGGGCGATTTGTTGGCTGCATTCTTTTAGAAGACGCGCAGGAATTCCGTCAGGACCACTTGCTTTGGACGTCTCAAGATTCCTTAGGCAATTAGCGACGTCTTGTTCACTAAGCTCTATCTCCCGTAGTTGAGCGTCAGTTCGAAATTGGGACGAAGGGAAAGCGGAGGCTTGATGTTGATTGGATCTTGAAGGTTCAAACAGAGAATAAATAAGAGTTAAAAAGTTCAGCTTTGTCTGAACGCGCTTTTCCAATTTGCCCTTGTAGGAAATTGCTGGAGTTTGGGTTGATCGATGATGGAAAACCGCCTTATGATAACTCCAAAATAGCCTTGGGTTGTCTCGAAAAGTCTTGAATTTTGAGTAGATAGTCACGGTGTTTTCTTTTCACAAGGTATTTGATTGTTTGACTAATTTCGCGTAGCTTTCGTTTGCGATAGTGTGTGCGACATTTGCGATATTTCGTTAGAGCAGAGTATTTTTTTCGTATGAAATGTATCACTTCTCCATCGATCCAAGCTGGTGAGTTGGCGTCCTTCACATTTTTTACGGGAACAAATTTATGAACTTCATTTAAGAAACAATCTTTCCACTGCTACCAACATTCATTGAGATTGTCCGATGAAAAAGTCTCAAGAGGATTGTGCGTTAAAAAGCGTCGGAGTTCATCAAAGCCTCCTCGCTTATAATCGAAAACGTTTCGCTTGACTGCGTTAGCACGATGGAATGCTTGCTGAATTTCAAACTTGACGTTGTAGTGATCGGAAGGAAAGTTAGGCTGTTCTGGCGACCATGTCATTACATTCTTTATGAGTCGTTGTCAAGACTAGTTTTTCCACATATTTTCGATTACAACGCGTGTTAAAATCGTTTTGTTTACGTTTTGAAATCAAAGCTGCGAGACAGGAAATTCATACAGTTAAAGAAACACGCTTCTCGACCAATCAACGCTCGCGTACTATAAATCCTCGAACGATGTGTGCCAGTGTAACACATAGTAGTGACGATAATAAGAAAGCTGTGGATTGACAGGGATACATCTACCTGAAAAATACAAGCAGAACTTCGACCTTTCGAGCGAAGGCCCTTCGTTGGGAAGTTTACTGGCCCTTCTTCTACTCGAAACGTCGAAGTTCTGCTTGTATTTTTCAGGTGGTTGCATCTGTATCAATCCGCAGATTTCTTACTATAAATGCTACTGTATATTATAGCATGGATAATAAAATAAATGGATAGGAAACTAGCTGATGTGACCTAATGTTTTCAATGGGCTGATGGCGTGGTTGGATGTTGAAACCTAGTTGCAAACCAAATTCTCAAAAACGGCTAAACATTTAGTAATACAGCTGAACATTTTTGTCAAAGAGCAATAATACAGCTAAACATTTTAGTCAAAGAGCAACTAAATATGACTACGCCATTCCACGATGAAATCTCTAAGTATTCCCAGTCAATTTTAGCAAATATTTCAAGCACTAAACAGTGAAAAATGCATCGCAAATTTCGTTAAAATTGGGGACGCCAATTTCGTAGCTACAAATGTAAAAAAATACAAAACAAAGACGAAAAACATTTACCTTGAATACTTTGTCGTGGTTTAGGCATGTTTTTAAAACAATTAGATCAGTTATGCTTCAATATTACTCTTTTAAAGCGGAAAGTATAGCGAAACAACAAAAATGCCGAGAACTTTACAATACGTGTGACGTCACAGATTGCAACTAGGTTGTTTTTGCTTACGTCAGCTAGAGTCCTATCCATTTATTTTATTATCCATGATTATAGTAAGAGATGGCAAGTGGGTGTTTGCATGAGAGTTGACTGACTATAACCTGGTGCGTAGCGAAACTGTCATCAAATTTTGAACCAGTTTAAAGTTGATGAGAGTGTATGAGAGTCGGTGAGAGTTCGCGGTCAAACGCCAGGGAGAATTACAACTCTCACCAAATCTCGTCCTCGTTTCATGCACAAGGGCTTTAACGTAAATTTTACTCTTTGCATGACTGTAGGGGGACCACCATAAAATATGGTTTGTTAATCCTCATATTGCATGGCAACTTTTTTGTAGAACATTGACATTTAGATTTGCTTTCCAACTTTTTTTTTTAAAATCTTGTGGTAGATCATAAAGCAAGCCACGAGGAAACAGAACCTAGCAGTGAAGACAAGGTCAAGACAACGCCGGAGGAGCCAACGACAAACCCACAACTCTATCGTTGCTGCGTTTGCAACAAAAAGTATCCCAATATGCCCTACATGGTACGCCATATAAAGTATCATATGACCAGAAAAAGAGACCTACAAGCTGAGCAGTGTAGTCATTGTGATAAAGTTTTTACGACCAAACAACAGCTGGCTAGACATGAGGCCACACACAAAGATGTACGATCTTTCAAATGTGAGAAATGCGAGAAATTGTTTAAGACTGCAGATAGTGTGAAACGTCACATGTATGTTCATAGTGATGCAAGACCTTTTTCTTGTCACATATGTCACAAGGAATTCAAAGCGAAACATTTGATGAAAAAACACGAAGAAACCCATTCTGACGTGAAGAACTACGAATGTGCAAAATGCGGCAAGAAATTTAAGGCGCGGAACAGTTTACGAGATCATTTGTTAGTTCATAACGGAACTCGACCGTATAAATGTGATGAATGTAATCAAGCATTCTATCGTCGCAGTCATCTTGCAACACATAAAACTATTCATAGTGAGGTAAAACCGTTCTCATGCAAAGTCTGTGAGAAAAGCTTTGGGCGACGTGAACACCTTAAAGTACACGAACGTATACACAGTGGAGAAAAACCCTTTCAATGTAATCAGTGTGAACGTTCGTTCAACCAACAAGCCGGACTACAAGCACATCTTATTAGTCACTCAGATGAACGACCATACACATGTTTAACATGTAAGAAATCTTTTAAATATCAATCTCAGATCAAACATCATGCATGTAAACCTGATGAAATTGGACGGTCTATGGTTAATGTACATGGTGGTAATACCAGCTTAATGGAAGTAGAAAACTCTGAGCCGACGACTGCGTTAAACACTCCGGAGACAACAATTAACAGTCAGGAAAGTCAAGAATATCCGACAACTCCTTCCACTCCTGACATTTCTAATGTAATGCCCACGTCTGAGACTGAAAATACAATCATAGTTATTCAAATTGAGAATACTCCCCATTCTAATGAAAGGGCCATGTCAGTCGACATGGTAACTACGCATGAAAACGATACAGGATCAGTGGCGAAAACAAACGTTCCAGGAACAAATACAAACAAAGACGTTCGACCGACCATATCGGAAGGAGAAAGAAATACTGCAATTAATCAAACAGATCGTGATTCAGAACGAGACAACATCACAACAATATCCGAGGGCATTTCAGAAAGTGCACAAACTACAACGAATACTAGAGTAAATTATGAAGAAAGACATCCCAGCATAACGAATTCAGAAACGACACTTGCTACTTCACAAAGCAATATAACAAATGTCGACATTTTGGAAACTCATGCTATGTTAACGGAGACACGAGTTAAAGAAAGACATGCAAACTATGCTGTGCATACACAAACAAAATTTAATTCAGTACCGGGCAGCGTGACAAATGTAGACTTTCCTCATGCGACTGTAACGGAGACATGCAGTCAAGCAAGATATGTGAATAATACGAATAACCTGTCGAGATATGGCTCAGCACAAGAAAACATTACATTACATGAATACATTGCTGAAAGAGAAAGGCTCGATACAGAAAATTTGACATTATGACATTATAACGCGAACTCACACTTCAGTTAACCAAGCGAACATGACTACATCACACGGGATTAGGCTACTACAGGTATATAGGGGAGAAGGCAACAATCTAACAACACAGCAAGCAAATATTGTTTAGTCTTATGCTGGAATTCCACCTGTGGTGAGCAATGTCAGGACGGCTTGAACAAAGCACAATGCGAATTTTACCGGATCAGTTTCTTTCATCATCCAGTATCGTCTGGGGCTAAGACAGCTCACACTACCGGAAGAATGTAACGAATGTTGTCAGTTTCACCAGCTCATCTCTGGAACCTAAGATAACCGCACTAACAGAGGGGTCAGATTTGACTTCTACTATACCGCTACCATTAAGGGGTCATCAACCTGTCAAATGCGGTTGATATATCGGATTAACAAATCATATAGTGTTAAGCCAGTGAGAGGTAGCGGTAGTGGAAGTCAAATCTGCATCTCTTTTATGACTATTAGAGCGCGGAACAGTTAGTTGAACGTTTAGCTGGGGGGGTTTCTAAGAAACTCACAGACTTTAGGTTTTAAAGTGCACATACATCGACTACGATAATTTTGGCTGTTAAAGTCACCGGAACTGACGTTAAATAAGTCGAAGCAAATCAGTTTCTATTATTCTTTGCCACAAAAATGCCTTATTTACTACTTCCGGTAGCTTTAAAAGCCAAAACGAGCATAAAGGCGGTTTTCCTCTAGGCGAAATTTTTCGACCGAATCGAAATTTCTCTTTGTTTCATGAGCTCTCAAGCAGAACTAATTGTAAAAAGACAAAGAGAAATTTCGTTTCGGTCGAAAAATTTCGCCTGGTGGAATCAGGCCTTTACAAGCACTCCGATGGAACTAAACAGAAATCTTTTGAATTTGAACAATAGAAATTTCGGTTCGATCGAAAAAATTCGCCTAGTGGAAAACCGCCTTTACAAGTACTCAGATGGAACTGAACAGAAATCTTTTGAATTTGAACAATAGAAATTTCGGTTCGATCGAAAAATTTTGCCTAGTGGAAAACCGCCTTAAAGGCCTGATTCCACGAGGCGGAATTTTTCGACCGAAACGAAATTTCTCTTTGTCTTTTTACAATTAGTTCTGCTCGAGAGCTCATGAAACAAAGAGAAATTTCGATTCGGTCGAAAAATTTCGCCTAGTGGAAAACCGCCTTTAAATCGAAATTTTCTTTTGTCTTACAAGCACTCAGATGGAACTAATCTTCTATCTTTTGAATTTGAACAATAGAAATTTCGGTTCGATCGAAAAAATTCGCCCGAATCGAAATTTCTTTTTGTTTCATGAGCTCTCAAGCAGAACTAATTGTAAAGAGAAATTTCGTTTCGGTCGAAAAATTCCGCCTCGTGGAATCAGGCCTTAAAGATGAAGTTTTTCTCTTATAAAATATATTGCATTTCGTCGTAGAATGTTTGAATATCAAAAATATTAAAAATTCCTAATCGCTGTTTGTGCACTTTAAGTCTGAAGATTTACTTCGACGTTATTTTCTGAGTTAAAAAGAAACGTTAATACCGTTCTCCCTACTTTTTGAAATTAAATTTTGTATTGAATATTTTAAAAACATTTGTGGCGCCCAGTAGGTTTAGGCCTGGTTCAAACGTCGAATTTTGCATGTGTCGAATACAATTCGCATTTCATTCGAGCGAATTCAATGAAATTCGACGTTTGATTCAAACGTCGCATTTTGCATGCATTTAATTCGAAATTGTAAGTGTTGTAGAATGTAGACACGCCCCTTTGATAGTTTTAATTAATAGATTGACATTTATTTTTAACCTAGTTGTGGTTTTACGTAAACAACAAGAGCGAAGTTTCGCTCAAAAATAAACACAGTATGTCAGTAGGGCCATTTATACGACTATACCAGCGAAATAAGTCGTGGCTCGTCTTATTTAAAGCACGAAAAAATACTATGTAGTCCCGTATAAGTGTAGTTGTTCGCGACTTTATTTTCGCTTGTATATAAACTCACATCAGGCTATTGACTATTTTTCACACAAACACACAAAAAACATGGAATTATTACCATTCTATGTCCTACACGCGAAATTTGATCCATTAACACTACATGCCGTCCTTTTACCTCTTTCCAGACTTTTTCCGCGAGCCCCACCCAAGCAGAATTGAATTCGACACATGCAAAATGCGACGTCTGAAACAGGTCGCATTTAGCTCGCACTTAGCTCGCATTATGCGACCGGTCAGGTCGAATTTAAAGTTAAGGTCGACCGCAATTAAAAACGTCGCATTTAATCGTTTCAGACGTCGAATTTTGCATGCACATAATTCAAGCCATTGAATTCGACACATGCGAAATGCGACGTTTGAAACAGGCCTTAGCGATGCGCGTACCCCGTCAGTTAAGTTCTATTTCAGAAATTAGCAAGAGGGGTGGTGCAGATTTTTAGTGAAGTGATAAAATAATATGACCCCACCCTTGTACTGTATGAGTTGGGAAATGGGTGACCTGGCCTCCTCGAGTGCTCGTCGTTAAATAGTATGACCATTCTCCTGTAAATACAGCGAACTTAAGGCTAGTTTCCACTCAGGAAAATTATCCGTGGTTTGGAACGGACAAGAAAGTTTTTCTCTGTCTTGTGAGCTCTGTGTTGGAACTGATGACTTTAACACAAAGAAAAAATTTCTTGTCCGTTCCAATCCACGGATAATTTTCCTGAGTGGGAACTAGCCTTTAAGCAATGCAAAATCTAATACTCTTACGCTACGAAAGGTCATTCGCTATCTTGTTTTCTTGTCACGTCCCCGTAGTAGATTAAGCCTTGTTTAACTTCGCTACAGACCCCAGCCATAGAAATTATAAAAGAATAGAGTAGCCATTGCGTAATGAATTCCGTCAAACGAAATTGAAGAAATAAGATTTCCGTTTTTATTCTATTTTAAAAATAAGCTAGGGTTAGGTTAGGTTTGGGGTTAGGTTGGGGTTAGGTTTAATATTAGGGTTAGGGTTTAGTTTTGCGTTAGGATAGTTTTTTCTACGTTATAAAAACGGAAACCTTATTTTGAAGTATACTATCTAGCAATCACCCTCCGAAATAGCGGTCAAATCCAAGTCTCGGATGTAAGTACTGGATGTAAAAAGCGTACGCCAGGATTTCTGTATCCACCAAGCAGTTATTACGTCACCTAGAATATTCTCGATGAAATGGCTGCTCCCTTTCCGTGAAGTTGATGACCTCCTACATGCAGCAGGTTAATCCTTATGAGTATACTTCTCTGCGGATTCCGCCGATGAGCTCCTGGACACAGGGCGCGAAATAACGGCTGGAGGGTTGCCGGTCAAAGTGACCGGCCAAATCAATTGTAGCTCGGACATACCGAATTTCTGGCCGGTCAAATTATTCAGCTTAAAGCAACGCCCACTAAAGTATACCCCTGAAAATGTGACTATTTTCCCAGTATAGTATCAAAACAAGCCTTACTGTAATCAGTAATTAAAAACTCCTTCACATAAAACAGCTTGCACTGCGCTAAAAGCATGGAACAGGTTATTTGGCTGGCCTTAGAGACAAAACGTAACAAAGCAATGGTTTTACTAACACTACCCTTTTCCAAACCCTGACTCTACTCCAAGTTTGTTTCTAATTATTCTAAACCAACCTTGAAGAAAACATTTTTGACGAAATGTCATGCTTTAATGCTTTAATGAAATACTCCTAAAACAGTATTATACTACACTAGGAGGAGTTATATATACTGAAAAACTAGATAATATTTATGTACTATTTAAAGCACGCGTAGGAGTGTTTTATCACATATAAAACACGACGCGTAGCGGAGTGTTTTATATGTGATAAAACACGACTACAAGTGCTTTAAATGGCTTAAAAAACGACTCAGCTTATACGAGTTCATTGGCGAAGTAATTTTTAAAATAAACTTTGTCTAAACCGAGAAAATCAAAGCTAAAGTTTATGTAAATTAACATGATTTTATATCACATATATAACCACGACACGCTTATGATTTTTCTTTGTGTTTTGCTCCTGAATTATTAATGAGTTTTTTAAATTTATTTACAAGAAATTAGTCTTCATAATCACTGTATGACACATATATTAGGCGGTGATTATAGAATGATGTTGTTATATGTTATTAACAACAACAATGGCAAAAGCGACAAACGACAATAACAACAACGACAACAACTCTAAGACTACAAAACGAACATATAGTACAATGCAAACGATTCAAAACGATACTAATCAAGGGAGCACGCAAGAGTTCGTTTTGCCTGTCTTTTAATCACTTTATTACCTTCGTTTTGTTTTTGTCCGCCATTTTGAAATATATGCGGTATCATTCATTAATATATTGCAGGCGCTAATCACGAAGTTCGGCCGAATGAGTTCCGAACCCTTTTTGCTCGGCCTTCGGGTTCGGAACTCATTCGGCCGAACTTCGTGATTAGCGCCTGCGATATATTAATGAATGATACCGCATATATTTCAAAATGGCGGACAAAAACAAAACGAAGGTAATAAAGTGATTAAAAGACAGGCAAAACGAACTCTTGCGTGCTCCCTTGTACTAATTAGCTACATTAAGTGACTTAATTGAAGGCATGGCAAGTGTTTTGAAACTTGGGTTTGATTGGCAAAGATTGTTAAATGGGATGTGATTCCAGGTAACGATTGTTCTTGGATAAAATGAAAACTTATATACATTGACACACGACTGAATTTGGCGGTAAGGACAGATATTAGGCAGCCTGGATGCTCTGGTCAAAGGACACACGTCATCAGGAAGACTGATTCCAACAAGGCCTTGATGGATCTTGTAGAACATAGTGGCTTGGTGTAGCAGTCGCCGTTGTTGGAGATTGTCCCAACCCAGATGGTCGATCATTGAAGAGACGTGGCTAGCTCTGGAATAGTCATTGAAGACAAATCTAGCAGCTCTGCGTTGAACCATCTCGATCTTGTTGATGTTCCTCTTGGTGTAAGGGTTCCAGACTGTAGAAGCATACTCAAGTTGTGGACGGACAAGACTAGTATACGCTCTTGACTTAACAGCAGCGCTACATTCACCAAGGATCCTTCTAAGTAAGCCAAGAGTGCTATTTGCCTTACTACATATGATGTCACAATGTTTGTTCCAGTTCAAGTTGTGGTTTATAGTAATGCCCAGTTATTTGGTAGAAGATACTCTGCTAATGATTTGATTATTCATGATATAGCTATATGTTTTAGGGACACGTTTATTTGTAATTCCTAGGTGGTAGCATTTTGAGAAATTGAAATTTTGTTGCCACTTGTTAGCCCAATTATTTAGATTGTCTAAATCGTCTTGTAACGTGACGTAGTCCTGATCGTTATTAATTTCTCTATAATGATTCCATCGTCAGCAAACAAGCGAATTTGGGATTTAATATTCTCAGAAATATCGTTTATATAGAGAAGAAATAAGACAGGTGCGAGAATTGTTCCTTGAGGTACTCCAGATATGACAGGTTGAGGGTGAGAGTGGGAGCCATTAACCGAGACAACTTGAGAGCGGTTGGAAAGAAAAGCCTTGATCCAATTGGCGGAAAGTCCTCTAATACCATAATGGTCTACTTTGGACATCGGACGAAGATGAGGAATAGTACAGAATCAAAGGCTTTACTGAAGTCTAAGAGAATCACATCGGTTTGTTTCTTCTGGTTGATACTTTTTGCCCAATCGTCGTTTGCCGTAATTAGTTGGGTCTCACACGAAAATAGTTTGCGAAATCCGTGTTGTTCATTAATTAGAATATCATGATATGCTAAGTGCTTTGAAACATGGCTAAGAATGATATGTTCCATGACTTTGCAACACAGACACGTCAGAGAGATTGGACGGTAGTTGGCTGGGTTGGATTTTAAGTCCTTTTTAAAACCAGCAGAAACAAGGACCTTTGACCGGTGGAAGTGTACCAGAATCATAGGATTGTTGGAAAATGAAACAAAGCCAGTGCGAAATTGATGGAGAAAGTTCTTTAAGGATTCTAGCTGGGATTTCATCAGGACCACAGGCCTTACTGGGGTTAAGTTCAGAGAGTTGCTTGGCTACACCTTGGGAGTTGATGATCAAATCTGAGATGGAGGTGTATGGAGATTGACCTTTATTTGGAATTGGAGCATTCTCACGGGTGAATACTGAATGGAACTGGGAGTTAAGGGCGTCAGCTATTGAAGTTTATCCGAAACACATAATTTGTCGTTGAATTTTAAAGGAGGTATGCCAGAGCTCTCAGATTTACTTGTACGTACATACGACCAGAATTTCTTTGGATTTGTATTGAAGCTTGCGCCAATAACGTCATTCAGATAACTACTGTGAGATTGACGAGACGAGAGACTAAGTTCCGTTCTTTCTTGAACTCATCCCAGTGTTTAGGTTTGTGAGATTTGAGAGCCTTTTTATGTAGGCGATCTTTCAGCCGCATGTGCCGTTTGATAGCAGAGGTTATCCATTATCATTCTGAGGTCAGCGAAATAACTTCTTCCTAAAAGCATGGCCTTATAAACTCGGGAAATTTTATTGCCTTATAAAGGGGCAATGTCCCCGATTTTTGACCAAAATGCCTTTTATTCAAAAACTGAACTACAAAGTTAAAAATAAACATCAGTTTTTGAATAAAAGGCATTTTAGGTCAAAAATCGGTGACCTTGCCCCTTTATAAGGCAATAAAATTTCCTGTATTGTAAATGGCATCTTGATTAATTGTTGGCAGACACTTTTTCAAGTTTTAGTCATTTATGAAAATATCATGTTGCGTGGAAGTTCAAAGTTGTTTAATATACAACAAAGTTAAAAATAAACGTTGCAAATGGATTAGTTACGACATATGAGTCATATTAAGGTACGTCTACACGCTGCGATTTGTCGGGCCGATTTTTCTGGCTGTATGTAAATAACCTGTCGTGAGTACTCGCGTCAGCACCTTGCGATTCACAAAATCGGGAGAAAAATCTGTAACACTAACACAGATTTTTCTCACGATTCAACGATTTTTCTTCCGTTGTAAAGTTGTTGAAAACTTTTCGCACGCAGAAAACTATAATATGAACAGACGAGAGAGCGGGCAGCTTCAATTGAACGTTTAAATCGCTAAATGTCGAAGAAGGGGCATCGATTATTTACCAAAATTGGCCCGACAAATCGCAGCGTGTAAACGTAGCTTTAAACAACTTTGAACTTCCACGCAACATGTAACATTTATCACTTATTTACTGAGACCGAGGGAAACAGTGTGTTTTGTGGACCCGAGACCGCCGTTGTTGCCCTCGGCTTCGAGGGGTCACAAAACACACTTCTTTCCCGATCGAGGTCTCAGTAAATAAGTGTTTTGTTATATAGTATATAAGTGTCAAAGTATGAATAATTCACCGGTTATTGGAGTGAACTTACTGTAATTTAAAACCAAAACTGGATAAATGGAACGCCGTAAATGTTTATTAAAAAGTTTTAAAAATGAACTTTGGAACTTCATGGTTGACACGCATGCGTATTGCACCCATTTTATTATTGACCGATCAATAAATGTTTCATTGCGGACCGGTTGCCGAACATGACGTTTTGTGGACCGGCACGTGACACGGTTTTGACCAATCGGCAAACAGAACACTTGAACTTTGACACTAACTATATAACAAGACATTATAAAAGTGTCTGCCATATAAAAGTGTCTGCCTTACTATATAAAAGTGTCTGCCTTACTATATAAAAGTGTCTGCCAACAATTAATCAAGATTCCATTTACATTCCATCTCAATCCTGGCGTAATCTTGCCCATCCAGACTTCTGTACTACATGTTTTTTGTGTCTGTTAATAAAGTGTTATTGCTTTATTTTATGCTTACACTCATTCTTTTTCAGTTTTGGGCAAAATTTGCGAGGGTTGGATTGCTCAAAAATCGGTGACATTGCCCCTTTAAGCCAAAAGCATGCATGGCCAGCATGGGCTTTGTGACGTACTGCGTGGGAAAGACATTGAAGTTCTATTCCTGCAAAATTTCGACAATTTTATGGTTTTTAATTATAATATTTGACAACTTTATTTGATTATTAATTCCAACAAATGTAAGTTTGTTCTTTTCCTCAAAGTGCATGACCGATCAAAATGACCGGCAAGGTACGAATTTGACCGGACAACTCACAGGCGGCCCAATCTCGCAAGGGTCAGTATACTGTAGACTTATAGTATAAATGTATATTATATTAATGTATATTATAGTAAAAAATATGTCGTAAAATATAAATTTTAAAATGAAATTGACTTGCCTATTTGATAGTGTGTGTTCTCCTTTTATTCCTCCTTTGTTGGACTAATATTTTCCGAGACAATTTGTACTCGATGTTACTAGTATACATGAAACATGATAAAGGCTAACGATTCCCGATCGTCGATACGACGGCACGGCACTTCGAATCGAAAATTCTCACACTCAAATCGCTTTATTCTCAAAAAATATTTCGCCAGCATGTACAACAAATGCCGTTCTTCGAAAATACAGAGGTATTTCGGCGAGTTGTACAAGTTTTGCACCATATTTTAACAATGGAAATCAAAACCCATTTTATATTGAACTTACCCGGACCGAAAATTACTACGGCGAACGTCTGCGCAACCAGGCCTCCTTACCGTTGGATTTACAGGGGGGGAGGATGCCACTAATATATTAACGATAATATTTCGAATTAAAGTATCATATTCTACCATACTTTCCAACAAAGAGCCGCTGTATATTACTTCTTCCTTAAATTTCTTCAATCTCCGTCGTTTAATTTTCTTTTCTTCGACAACATCTCGAGTTTTATACAGTATCCGATCGAAGGAGTTTTTATTTTGCACAAGTAATGTAAACAGTCGCTACGCGGCCGCGATTGGCTGGCTGTTACCGGAAATATCTGCTTCCCCCCCTGTAAATCCAACGGTAAAGGAGGCCTGGTTGCGCAGACGTTCGCCGTAGTAATTTTCGGTCCGGGTAAGTTATATATAAAATGGGTTTTGATTTCCATTGTTAAAATATGGTGCAAAACTTGTACATCTCGCCGAAATACCTCTGTATTTTCGAAGAACGGCATTTGTTGTACATGCTGGCGAATTTTTTTGAGAATAAAGCGATTTGAGTGTGAGAATTTTCGATTCGAAGTGCCGTGCCGTCGTATCGACGATCGGGAATCGTTAGCCTTTATCATGTTTCATGTATACTAGTAACATCGAGTACAAAGTCTCGGAAAATATTAGTCCAAGAAAGGAGGAACAAAAGGAGAACACACACTATCAAATAGGCAAGTCAATTTCATTTTAAAATTTATATTTTACGACATATTTTTACTATAATATACATTAATATAATATACATTTATACTATATTAAAGTCTATACTGACCCTTGCGAGATTGGGCCGCTTGTTGACAACTCCGCATTCTGAACGACATTAGGGAACTTTAGATTCGCTACGGCTACGAAATCTGGTACGACTACGAGATTTTTTCCGTTAAATATGTGCTACTACAGACTTTCTATCGTCCTTTCTTTTGCATACCACATCTTTATAGTAACAGTTGCGCCAAACCACGTACTATTATAAGTTTTTAGTAGCTGATATTTAATGGAAAAAATCTCGTAGTCGTGCTAGATTTCGTAGCCGTAGCGAATCTAAAGTTCCCGATTAAATCACGGTTTTCCACGCAAAACGAAGTAGAAAAGTATACAACTGTTTATACCAGACGATGCATTTGATTGCTTTTATCGTACACAGTTATTTGGAGAATACTCGAATATAATTTCGTAGTTTCGGCTAAGTGCAAACACGACAAGCAGAACTGTCACAGCAGCAGTGTAAGAAGATGTGACTCAATATTTAACTTTCAATACTTACCTGTACTCTGTACAGTAGAGGTGTGCATCGGTTCGGATTGGACGTTTATAATTCGACAATTGCCTAATGTTTAAAATCCGATCCGAAATTTAAGTTTGAAATCATTCAAGTTGAAAATTTAACCAAATAAATATAAAAGCAAGAAATACATGTCAAGAAGTAGCCTGCGTAGCAGGCGGTAGAAGCTAGAAATACCGCCTGCCTAAAAGCTACACATTCTGAGTTCCGCCCACCGAAGTACAGAACGCATGGTCCCGCCCATCTTAGTATTACGAAAGTCACAGAACTGTGGAATCGCATCAAAAATTCTTATATCGGCCACTCCCACAAACGTCTACGACCGCGCCTACAAAGTTTTGCATTTTTACAATTCTAATTTTGAACAGCCAATCAGGTTCTTGGTAATTGGCTGTTTAAAATTAGAATTGTAAACATGCAAAACTATGGGTTAGATGGAAAACACGGAGTCGGAGTTCCGGAGTCCCGGAGCCCCGGAGTCGGAGTCCCGGAGTCTGACGTCATAAAAATATGGAAAACACGGAGTCATATGGAAAACACGGAGTCTGACGTCATAAAAATATGGAAGACACGGAGTCATATGGAAAACACGGAGTCTGACGTCAGAGAAAAATATGGAAAACACGGAGTCATATGGAAAACACGGAGTCCACCATAAAATATGGAAAACACGGAGTCTGACGTCAGAGAAAAATATGGAAAACACGGAGTCTGACGTATTGTCAGCGTGAAATATGGAAAATAGTAATTAAATAATATATCATGTATGCGAAATATATTCAGTGATTCCACTTTCAAGGAAATTTCCTTTTTCAAGGAAATTTTGACCGAAAAAAGACGTTTCAAGGAAAAAAAAGGAATCAAGGAAATCTAAGGAATTTTTGAAAATTCTAAGGAAATTTAAGGAATTTTTGAATCAACTGATTGAAATGAAATGTTTTCAAGATGAACCTTTCATTAATTTTAAATTATATTACTTTCCTTCGCTCATAACCAATATGTCCGTGTGCAAAAATAAAAAAAACTCTTTCGGAGCCTGTGACCTTGTCGGTGGAATCTAAAATTATTAATGAAACTAAGTAAGTAGGCTGCACACAACCTGAATTTTAGGCAGGTAGCGTGCTGCGTGCAGGCCACCACGTGTTAGCTGCACTGGTTGGCTGTCATGTAACCTGGATTCCAGAGCCTTCGACAGTAAATAATAAATTGAAACGTCACGAAGGCTCTGGTTCAACGGGAAGATTCTTTGATTAAACCGCGCCAATCACAAAACAGAATTAGTGGTTTTAGTACAGAATATGTACTAAAAAACACTAATTCTGTTTTGTGATTGTCGCGGTTTAATCAAAGAATCTTCCCGTTGAACCAGAGCCTTCGCGACGTTTCAATCTATTATTTACTGTCGAAGGCTCTGGAATCCAGGGTAGCTGTCATGCGAATTTATATGAATTTATTTGTCATGTGAATTTGTTGACTCAGTTAAAGTTGAGAACAATATTAAAACTCTGGTATTTTACATTTTAAAGCTTTCAAAATTGTTGTGTAAAGGCTTTGTTTTTAAGAGTTGTACGAAAGAAATGTACCATTCTGTTTCTGTCTTACTTTATATAAGTATTAATGATTCTAGTTGCCGAAATTTACTTCGGTTAATCAAGGAAATTTCAAGGAAATTAAATCCTTTTCAAGGAAATTCAAGGAAATTTTAAAGCAAAATCAAGGAAATTTCAATGATGCGTTGTGGAAACACTGAATATATTAACGAATTGGAAATTTTCTGCACTAATTCTGGTATTTCTCTAAAATGTCGTGAAAATATGGATTATTTATTTTTAAATACAATCAAGCAAATAATATTGTTTCTCTTGTCGTGTGACTTGTTCAGTTGTACAATAATTTGAAGTGATTTTTTAAAATGCGGATTTGTTCACCTCGCATGGTATGTTGATAAAAATATAGTTTATATACTTAATACTGCTAGAATATTTCATAGTCGATTAGCATGTAATATTTATAACACACAATATCTTGACACAAAACAGATATGCTGCTTGGTAGACTTGCTCCAAGTCTCTCTTTGTGGACATCTATATATTGTACATCTATATTGTACGTTACATGACGTACAGTGGCGTAACGTTATATCAGGGGGCCCCCGGTTCAAAATTTTCGAAGGCCCCCCTAGTGGACGTACCAAAGGCACGAGTCGAGCCCCGTATATGCACGAGTTTTCTAGGGGGTCCAGGGCATGCTCATCCGGAAAATTTTTGAATCTAGACTCTCTCAAATGCCATTTCCTGGACTTTGGGGAGAGATTTTACAGAATTCTGATGGTCGTAAAACGACATTGTAACATATCAGAGGCCCTGACCAATATTTTTGCTCTATCGTCTAAGCCTGGGGGCCCCCATTTGGGTTGGGGGCCCCCGGGGTCTCCCGGTCTGAGACCATAGTAGTTACGCCACTGATGACGTACCGCTGAGGGGGAGAGGAGGAAAGAGAAGAGAGACTTGTAACATCTGGCAAGCAGACATACTTCCGGCTGGTCAATTTCGACCAGCCGGAAGTAGATGGCCGCATTGACTTATCACGTGTTTAGGGGGGGAAGGCGACATTTCAGAGTTATTTGTTTAGCACGAGTAATTTACTAATTTTGTATTCACGAGATTTCTTGTAGATTTCACATCGCTTTTGACTGGCATGTACTAAAAGGCGAAACGTCGAAACGAAACGACCGAAACGAAACGGCCGAAACCATCGAAACCACCGAAACCACCGAAACGAAACGACCGAAACGAAACGACCGAAACGAAACGACCGAAACGAAACAACCGAAACGAAACAACCGAAACGAAACGACCGAAACGACCGAAACGAAACGGCCGAAAATGTAAATTACAGGAAAATTGAAAAATGCGGATACGGACGGACGGACGGGGGGGGACAGGCGGATGGACGGGGAAGACAGGCGGATGGACGGGGGAAGAGGCGGATGGACGGGGGGGGCAGATGGATCGACGGGGGAAGAGGCGGATGGACGGGGGGGACATGCGGATGGACGGGGGGACGGCTTCATTTGACACGAAACTCAATTTTAAAATCAAATCCACGTTTTGTTGAAAGGGATATATTAGGATATATTATAAAAGACTATTATTAATCGTAATAAATTGTCCGCGAAAAGTTGATAAAATACATGTGGAAATGCGGGGTTTTTCGAACCTTCGTAACGCTTGATCGGATAAAACGCGGATATGCTGCAACTTTCATGCTTAATTTTCTCAGTCATCTGGGTATGTAGCAATCTAATTTTATGCAATGTAATGTGTTATATTTTCAAGGGCTTTTCAATGCAGTTACCGGTTTAAATATACCTAAAATTCCCGTTAAGAGATATGACAATTGCCCTACGGCCTACTTTTACGCAAACGAAAATTAGCTACAATTGCCACTTTCATGCTTAATTTTCTCTGTTATCCGGGCATGTAGTAATGTAATTTTATGCCAATGTAATGGGCTGATGAAATTTGCAGTCGTAATTTGCGTTTGCATAAAAGTAGTCCGTACGGCAATTGTCATATCTCAACGGGAATTTGAGTTATATTTAAACCGATA